TATTGGGTATTGCATACTGTTGTTTTTTTATTACCCAGTTCATGCTACCCTTGATTCCATATTTATTACTGGATGACTATTTCATAGTTAATTGTGATGCTTTGGTTCTATTTATCAGTAAACCAATCAAGGTCCGATTGTGGGGCAGAATTATGACTCAGATGACATCATTGACACTCTTGGAAATTCCAGAATTGTCTTGGTTATTACCTCACTGACAGTTAAAAAATGGAAATGGTATTCGAATCATACCTGGTACATCAACATTTTTTGAAACATCCTATCCTAATATAATTAAAGTGATAAAGGGAGTACTGTAGCATAAGAGTTTTGCTATCTTATGCCATCGGTGACTTTCCTTTGCTAACAGCCATGATGAGCCAACTCTTCCATTTGCTGCCACTCTGTGGTAAATCATAGAATTAGGCTTTGACACTTTTTATCCCTTTGATTTTGTTTGATACATGAACATGGTTACTAAATCCTTAATCTTATTTGATTAGTCTGTGAATTATAACTTCCATTCAAAACTAGAGAATGCTATTGGTGTATGCTTCACAAGTTACTCCAATCTGAATCTCGATTTATGTTCATAAAAAATGTAAAATCATATACAGGAAAAGTTAGCATTATGGTATTTTGTGCTAAAATTGTAGTTCAAATCATGGTTAAATCATTTCAATAAGCTAAAATCACCTAGCGATTTAGATTATGTTATAATATTTTGACCACCAGTACAGTACAATCATAGTTCAAACGTGGCTAAATCAAACTTGACACGTTGCTCCAACCTGAGCCTCGATTTATGTTCAGATATACTAAAAGTTGTAAAACCACATCGAAGGTCACAACAAAAAAGTTAACATTAGAGAATTTTGTGTTAAAATCGTAGTTCAACTGTGGTTAAATCAGACTTAACACGTTGCTCCAGCTCGAGCCTCGATTTATGTTTAAAGAAGCAAAAATTGTAAAACCATACCTAAGGTCGTACAAAAAAAGCTAGCATTATAGTCTTTTGTGCTAAATTCGTAGTTCACCCATGGTTAAAAATAAGGGTTGACATGTTGCTTCAACCCGAGTCTCAATTTATGTTCAGAAAAAAAAAATTGGAAGACCATACCGAAGGTCGTGCCAGAAAAGTTATCATTAGGGTATTTTCTGCTAAAATCATAGCTCAATGGTGGTTGAATCATGCTTTCACAATTTGTGGCTTTTAATTATAGTTGATTGAAATTTATTATTTCACCCGGTAGAAACTTATTTACCTAAATGTGAATAGCCATGCGATTTAAACTTTTTTCATTTCTATTATATTTATTTACATTATTCTCTAACATTAAGTAATCCTTAAGCCACACAATTCGAAAGACATGGGTTGGTGCTCCTAATTTAGAGCAAAAAAAATCCGTACTTGAAAGAATTCGAAAAAGGTTTGGAAATTAATAGATGTGACTGAAAGAAAACGAGCGGTTGTTTCACCAGAGAAAGACATACATATGATAGGTGAGAGTAAAGATGAACATTAATTACTGATAATACAAGCACTTTTTAAGATTAGCAGTTGAATTATCCGTCTGTCACTCACGATCTACTAAGACTATATAGAATTTAGACTCTTTACATGTGATGTGAGCATAACCAGATTAAAAGCTGATTACTATATTGGAAGAGATAGATTCGATGAGGAGGTGAGCACCGATTTAGAGATTGTTTGGATTGATAGAAGAACTGTCTTTACTTGAATCTTGAAATTTTATACAAGATACCCATTTGTTGTAAGGGAATGAAAAATTGACGATCGATGATTAGAACAAATGGGAAGATGATGAAAAACAGTAAGACCGTAAGGTGGAGAACTATGATGCCTTACGAGAAAACTTAAGGGTTGAGTTGGAAGGGAATACAACTACTTTTATTTTTTATTTTATAAATAAAATTTAAAATACTAAGTGAATCTATATAATTTTATTTATAAAATTTTTAATAAATTGTTATACTGAGCTTTTTAATTTTGTTATTTTCTTCATGATGTAGATGTATATAATGAATTAAAAAGAGGTGTTGTAGTATTTTGACCTGGATGTATATATTTGTCTAAAATTTTATCGTCTATATATTTAATAATATTTCAAATATATCAATATATTAACACTTTATTAATGATTTGAATATAAAATTCTTTGAAAATAGATTGTGGAGTGTTTTCAGGTTCGCACTCGGATCTGACTGATTAAATGTATAGACAGTATGGGTAGTGTGTTCTTTGTTGGGCTTCCAGTATGTAGGTGTCTAACACCCTAGCTATATAATCGAATTGATGGCTATTCGGGATGCAATAGAATGGTGATCTTTGAAGGGTCTGATGGAGATGGTATTCAAGGGGGAGGCAAAAGTAGTCATTGATAAGGTACGAGGTCAGGAGATACGTGATGGTAGAGGTGGACTCATTTCCGAGGAAATTGGCAAATCCGGTAGCAATATGAACGTTATTTTGTGGAATTTATAGGCAGGCAAAACTGGCGGGCAACCCATTTGGTGGTTAAAAGGGCAATTTCTTTGTGTTCCTGCAAGTTTTAGTGGTTTTGATTCTGACATTGGCTATCTTTTGGTTGTAAACTGTGGTATCTTCACAGTTCTTGGTGATACTAATTAGGTAGCCAAAACCATTACGAATGGACCAAAATATTTTCATGGGCCCTTCTCTAGCCTCCAATCTGGACAACCCATATTGGGGGGGAAAAATTAAAAATAAACCACTCCAAATTTCTTTCTCATTATACGAGTCGATAATTTAAAAATTAATCCAGCCAACGGCTCGGGTTAAAGCTAGTCTAAACTTTAAAATGACAAATATTTTTGTTGACAACAGACATCACTGTGTGCATCAGGCGTCTGAGTGTTCCCACTACAATTCGTGGTATTCTCAAAGAATTTTGCATGGTTGTACAAGATGTGAGGTACATTTTCCAAAATAATGTGTTCATTTGTGAATTCTATGGATCCACTAACTTAATATTTGTCCACGTAAACAGCGGCGCTAAGGCAATAGTTCATTATCAAGGATATGACATCTTGAAGTTCTTAGAAAATGCACCTGCGGCTGAAGCTCACTTGCCTCTCATTGTTACAATCAAATCTGTCATTCGAGTGCCACCTCTACCCAACCAGAAATACAAGTATCATTTCAAATCCACTCCTGCCAGTTATCTGAAGATAGAATCCTACACACACTCGATCAAGGAAATTATGCACATGTACACTTCTCTATTCACATATGTTGTTCATATCTCAATTAATTTGTTTTGCCAATCAATTGAAACAAAACTAATGGTTTGTTGTATTTTTCTTACAATCCAGTTTCCTTCATAGTCGCAAACAGGTTTACTACATGGATGCCAAACCGGTGTGAAAACAGGCTGCCTTCGACCAGGAGTTCAGAAGAAAACACTCACTGACATCAAAGCTGTGCTTGGATCTGATGAGAGCCACCACAAGGTACGTTGGGAACTAAATATATCTACCTTGCCAACATCTTGTGCAGAAATTTTACATACGCACATATATTAAAACATAAATTGCCATTTGTGTTAGATACTTTACCGTGCCAAGTTTTACATATCACAATTGAAGTTTCGAAGTAGCATTTGCCGAACAACTGAGCAATGGCCAGAGTAAGTTTTTCTTTCAATGTGAACACTTCTTATGCTTATTAATATATCAACAAATAAGCTAACCAAAAATCTCATTTATATCTATGACTAGCTTGCACTATCAGCTGGAAGTCAAATGTGAACATGGATCTGATGATATTGATGTCATACTGGACCATGAGGCCACTCTCTCGATAATTGGCATGTCACCCAGCAAGTACAAAAAACTCGAACCAGAATCTGCCAAAGCATTGCTGATTAGAAAGTGTGGCAGAATGTTTGCAGGGGAGCTATACATCGGTTGCTCAGATTTAGAAAACAGAACTTCACCGGTCACACCACACATAAGAGTTGCAACACTTTGGCATACCTCAAGAATGGACAAGTGATCGTCTACATTGATGAGGGAAAGACTTGCTGATGCACTTAATATGCCCCTAATATCCTCATTCTTGAACTAAGTTCCTGTTCTCCAACTTCCATGGAGACAAAACAGTGTGCACGTTTGCTTATTTAGTTTGCAAAGACTTTTGGATTTGAACAAGATTATTTTGTACTGCCTTTAGCTTCTTTGCTTGACAAACTAAATCTCCAGTACATTTTGTGTGCACTTAGCTGTAATGCATCATCTATCTATATTACTATTCTTGGTTTATCAACAATGATGATTGGTGTAGGTTGGGAAACCACGCGGTTTTACGTCCCCATTTACACTGATTACTTAAATCAACATACCCCGCGGCAGAGCGCGGGCTAATTCCTAGTATAATATATTTGTAGATGTGTTGATAAGCCACCCTTTAACTGCCCCCAACTCTGCTATAATATATTTGTAGATGTGTTGATAAGCCACCTTTTAACGAATTTCATGTTTTTTTGTCAACCATGACCTTGAGTAGTTCCATCACCCTTGTAATGTCAAATGCCACCCAACTCTGCTATAATATATTTGTAGATGTGTTGATAATCTACCCTTTAACGAATTTCATGTTTTATTGTCAACCATTACGTTGGGTAGTTCCATCACCCTTGTAATGTCAAATGCCACATCGAGATTGTCAATGCATGCTTCACCAGTTCACCCACAAATGATTAGGTTTGATGGAAGCTCTAATTGGGTCAGTTTTGTTAGGCTATGGTGGTTGACATACAATGTAACAATGGCGTGCAAGGAAACCTTCAGAAAACGAGAAACGTGACAATGCCCTCCCAATAGTCACCACCAACACCAAGTTATTATTATAAACTTTTTCTTCCTGGAAAAGACCAATTAATATTATTCTTCATTCATCCCCATCCCCATCCCCCCTTACACATGTATGTAACAAATAAAGAATTTAGCATTGAATACAAATAGCCAGAAAACCAGCACCATATATCTAATATCTACAATAATGGGCCCGATCCAAATTCCAAACACCATCCACACCCTAGCAGTAGCAAGCACTCACTCTCTGTTTTCTTCTCTTCCTCTCTTTGCCATTTTTCTCCGTCTCCGCTAAAGGGAACACAAACCAGAAACCAATTACCATATCCCATCTGCTGAAGTTCCTTTTTCTCCCTTTCTTCTGGTAATAAACTATAACTAACTAACTATGGTGCGGGGAGACCATGTTATCGAGGACGAGGATGAAAACTGCCGCCGGCAGCTGTAATCTGGGCTTCTCACCCTGACGGCGAGCCAGGACGACGTCGTAGTAGCTGGCGGCGGTGGCATTACTCCGGCTGTTGTTCTGACTACCTTGGTCGCCGTCTGTGGTTCATTGGCTAGCGGGTGTGCGGTAAGTTGGAATTTACTCTCTTTCCCTTTCGTTCCTCTGTTTCTCTTATAGTACGCATGTCTGGTGATATGAAGTTAAGAACAGACAATATGTTAGGTTTTTTGTGATTTGGATACTAAGGAATTCGAAAGGGTAGTAATATTATCATTAGCCCAAACTCTTGTTCCTAACTTCATAACAAATCTAGTAAATAACTTTTTCATTTTATAATTAAATTGAAATCGCTTTGAATTCAACAAACGTTGGTATTTTTAAAGCACAATATGGCAGAGTAAGTTTGTCGTTTTAATCACCGTAATTATCTTTTTTTTTTTCATACTCTCGTTGGAATTAACAAAATCAACAAAATACCAGTTTACATAATCAACAAAAGTTTTTTTTTTGGTGGAACATAATCAACAAAAGTTAATTACGAAAATCAAATTCGCACACACTTACAATAATTATTTTTTAATAAAATAAAAAAAGCGCATCATTTTCCCTTAAAATTAGAAATTATGTTGACATCCATTTGAATGACTCAAGCGTAAAGCAAGGAAACAGAGGGGCCACATGAAATTCCTCCAAAACAGAGTCCATGATTTAATAATTGGACGCCCAGCTATGGTCTTTGCGGTTTAGTGCACGCCTTTATAAAATTAGACCCAATCTAAGGCTCCAATAAGAAAATTAAAGCAGCGCCTAAATCTTAATCAGGTACCTTTGTGATGCTAACACAAAGAGATTGTGTATTTGAATTAATAATTTGTCATGGAATTGTACAGATTTATAGGTGACTCGAATAATTTGCACCGATATCTCAATATTATAGTATTGTAAAAGTCATTGTTGGTCGTACCGAGTTGTGAACTACAGAGAAAAAATAAGAAACTTGATTTGAGCTTTTTTTTCTTCTTTCTTTTTTCGGAGTGCAGTTTCAGTGGTGCAAGTAATCAATCCACTTCAGTTGATTGATTGAGCTTTATACTTGATGGGTTGATTATGCTTTCAAGTGTTTGACATTCCTCTTCTATCAAATATCACAAAGACACAAACAACTGTTTACTTATTAATTTTGTATTATTATTTTGAATGGAAAACAACCTCATGATATGATGATTGAAGTCATGGGCTCTCAAATTGGTAGGGATAATTGCATGGTTGGTCACTGAGATTATAAAAAACGTTCAAGTTTGGTCACTAGAAATATTTAAATTCATTGGTGGTACTTCGGTTTACTGAAACCGTTCACGTTTGGTCACTCTCCGTCCAACTCCGTTAACTTTGGCTGATGTGGCAGTCAACTCTCAAAGTTGACCGTTAACTTAGTGACGTGGCAATTAAGAAATAATAAATAAAATTTAATTTATTTTAATGTCTAACTCATTTTTACCATAAAATAAATAAATAAAATAAAAAATATAATTTATCAACTCCCTAATGAGCTTCTCCACTGCCGCCCTCTTCACATCCTTCTCGACCTCCATTCCAATCCCCCACTCCGTACATGAAAACCTGGCTGGTCGCCGAAGAAAGGCCAGCACATTACTGGAACTCCCGCCGTCAATCTCTCCAACATCGATCCCCACCTGCAGTGCGTAAAAAAAAAACCCAATCGACGGATGGTTCAAAACTTCCTCCTGCGGCACCAACCTGAGATAAACCCGATCTCGCCGGCCTTCTCCTGGAACTCTGGCGGAAACGCCGCCGATTCTCCGGCAACCAGGTCTGGCCGTATGATCCAAAGGTTCAGTCCCCGCTGTTTACGAAACCTATCCCGAATTCGATTAGATGCTCTCTCGACGCCATTATGATGCTTCCAAAATTGACATAGATGACAGAGTTCGGCGGTTTGGTGTTGAGCCAACGGAGGCACTCTGGGTCTTCTTTCCACAAGCTGTAGTTGATTGCGTCGGTCGTCGAGGGCCGGGCCGGATGGATGGACCCGACTTGATTCAGGAGGATCTCTATGGGTCCGACTGGGTATACAAGGTTAGGTTAGATGGAGTTGAGCACAGCTAGGACGTTTGGCTCGAGGGCATCGAATGAGTGAACTAGCACGGCCGAAGCTCTGGCGGCTGACTCGGCAGATTCCATCACCAAGCGGAAAATCGGGTCGTCTGGATTCGTCGTGCAGAAGAAGCTGGGCTGATCTGTCGGGCTTTTAATTTGGTAATTAATAATTATAATATTTTTATAATATTTATTTATTTTATGATAAAAATGAGCTGGACATTAAAATAGATTAAATTTTATTTTATTTATTATTTCTTAATTGCCACGTTACTAAGTTAACGGTCAACTTTGAGAGTTGACTGTCACATCATCCAAAGTTAACGGAATTGAACGGAGAGTGACCAAACGTGAACGGTTTCAGTAAACCGAAGTACCACCAATAGATTTAAATATTTCGAGTGACCAAACTTGAACGTTTTTTGTAATCTCAGTGACCAACCATGCAATTAACCCCAAATTGGTACTTAAGTATGAATATGGACTTTAAGTAGGCCCAATATTCTCTTCGTTTCAATGACTGTTTTGGGCCTAATGATCACTAACTCTTGTTGAGTTGTTTCTCTGAGCTTGTTGGACCAATTTAAAGCATAATATGTTGTTTGGAAAACGAGTAATCAATAGTTTCTTATACGTGTCAATCGGGCTGGTTCAGACTGGGTTCAATTGGATTGCGGGTTAGTTGGGTTTTGGGTTTGTCAGGTTGCGGGTTTATCGGGTTAGGGTTCAAACGAGTTGTGGGTTAGTCGGGTTGCGGGTTCATCAAGTTCGGGTTCAATCGGGTTGCGGGCAAATCGGGTTAGGGTCCATCAGGTTTCGGGTCGGGCAGGTTGCGGGCGGATCGAGTTACGGGTTGTTCGGTCAGCGCATCAAGTAACTTACTCCTTACTCGTTACCAACTTACATATTTTATCACACTAATTTAAAATATTTTTCTCAATTTTTTACCAATTTCTTTCTACCTCGTATATATACTTAATTAAAAAAACTAGTCAAAATGTTGAATCAATTTGTATGACTTGCAAATTGTTATGTAGTTAATCGTAATTGGTAAAGTACACTAGCTAATAGTAATGGTGATATCAACATTTGCAACCAAAAGGCACCATTAATTGTTTATTTGATATTTTAGTATTATTTTAGTAGTAATTGGATTAAAGTATCTCGTTTAGTACAACCATGCAAATCTGGTATTTGGCGTGTAGTATTTGGCAAAAGCAGAGTTGTAAGGAGTTATTTCGAAATAACTCATTGCTCAAATAACTTCAGCAAACTGTTGCCAAACGAGTTATTTGTAATATTATTCGAATTACCCTAAAAATTGAACCATTAAAGATTAACTATCAAATTTAGTAAAACTGTTGTGACTTCAATAATAACTTACTCAATAACATATATCTTATACACTTAGCATTACCCTCAATCGACAATATTAAGTTAGTATATGTTAATGATCGTATGCCCTAAACCATCAATACATTATAAACTAACCACATACCCTATGGCCTATACCCTAACCATATATCTTTATGAGTTGGGATTTTGCTAGTATAGTTAATTTAAAGTGAAATTCATACTTTGATTTTCAAAAAATAGATAAAAAAGTGATATTTGCTATACCCTAACCATATATCCTATACTCTACACCATATACCTTGTACCCTAACCACGTACCATAAACATAAATTAAAAAGGGATCTCCTGCCATTAAAGACTTCAAATGACTTCAGGTGAACATATGTTAATAAAAACTTAGAACCGTCAAAACCATCAATACCTTATACCCTAACCATATACTCTCTAAACCATCTGTACCTTATACCCTATACCCTAACCATATACTTTATACCCTAAACAACGAACCATCAAAGATTACTTATCAAGTTTAGTATAATTGTTGGCTCATATTCACCCGCCCATAAATTTTCCATTCCAAAGTTCCCACCCAAACCTCCCTCTCATTTTCCATTCCAAACTTACCCGCAACCCGATTAACCAAAATTTTCAAACCCGCACCTTGACTGAGTTATTGCAATCGTATGACTTAACAGGCAAAGTTTAACCCCCATTTTGAAATAAAAGTTCAATACAAACACAACTTAAATGTGCCAAAATTTTACTAAGTATTTTAAAATAACAATCATGTAGTGTTGAAGTTGCAATAAATGTAGAAGTATAGAAAACAAGTAGACAAATTAAATGAATTTTTCTACAACAAATTATTGTTGTAACTATTATTTAATATATTTATTAGACCATAAATATTTACACATATATATTAGTCTTCAAAGTACATAAGAATAAATTTAATTAGTCATTCTCTCCATATAAAAATTAAAAATTCATATTTCAAAGGCTAAATTTTGAAAACACCAAAAAACTGAAAACACCAAATTTGTCTCCTTCTTCCTTTTCACAAAACAAATACCAAAATTCTCCTCCTTCATTCTCCTTCCATAAATTAGAAACACTCAATTTTCCCTCTTCTTTCTCTTCCATAAAATTGAAAAACCAAATTTCCCTCTTCCCTCTTTCCTTCCACAAAAAGTTGAAAACTCAAAGTTTCACTCCTTATTTCTATTTCATAATCAAAAGAATCAAACTTTCCCACTTCTTTCTCTTTTCACAAATCAAAACCACCAAAATCCGTCCTTGTTTCTTTTCTCAAAAATTATAAAAGCCAAATTTCCCTCTTCTTTCTTTTTCCAAAAATTGAATGCACCAAAATTTCCCTCTTCTTTTAAAAACATCAAATTACCAAATACATTACTTTACTTTATTTATATTTAATTGATAACTTTATTGAATAGTTAAATTAACCAAAATTTTAATTTATATATTATATTAATATTGTCCATGATCTCAATTATTAATTCTTCATTGTTAAAATTGACATTGTGTTGATTTTATATATCATATTTACTTTCTAATTTTTTAAAAGAACTTAGTGTTCAAGTGACCTTCATGTTTCAATTTTTTTAAAATATATAATATCAGATGAGTTTCATATTTTTTAAATTCACTATACGAAATGAAAAAATAATTGTACCTAAGTTTAGGATGAAAAACTTTATTTTGAAAAACTATGTATTATATAATATAATAATTTTTCAAGTGGAGTAGGTGAAGTTCGGGTTGAGTCGGTCGGGTTACGGGTTAGTCGGGTTCGGGTCAATTGGGTTTGAGTTAATCGGGTTGCAGGTTTAATTGGGTTCAGATCAATCGGGTTCGGATTAATCGGGTTGCAGGTCGGGCGGGTTACGGTCGTTGACTTTTAGTCAATTCGGGTTGCGGTTGGGTTGCAGGTCAGGTTGATCGGGTGGGTTATTCTGGTCGGGTTCTGTTTTGACACCTATAATAGAAACTAGTTTTTTGGCTCGCGCTTCGCGACAGTAAGAAACTGATTATATCTAAAATTTGGTCTACTCCTTTACTCATTCAATGATTACTTTGAAATCAAATGATTCACAAAATAGTTCAAGTACAGATATCTTGATAAGTTTTATGTAGTTTCATAATTATATCTACATTTGTTTAAGTGATACTTAAGAAATAACTACCTTTTATAAGTCTTAAATAATATATTCATAATTTACATAACAGTCGTAGAACGAAGTTACCTAAATCTTTCTTAATATGTGGTCTAATAATAAAATCAAATTATGAGAAATATCATATTTGTGGTCTTAGCGGATGAATTAGTATGAAAGAGTTTTCTACAGATTGAGACGATTATTAGGTGCAAGGAACTAAGGAAAATAATTCCACAAAGGAAAGAGCGGTGATATAGGCACAAGAATTAGAGGAAAAAGTAAAGGGAAGATGAGGGGATCTCTATTTGGAAGGTTGGCTTTGAGGTTCAAACTCCAGGAGCAGTCCGAGTTTATATCTAACGTCTCCACTCTCCTCTCTCTAGCGCCAACGACTTTGATCTTTTTGTTGTTGGGTTGAGCGGGTCACCCGCACACTCACCCACAACCCACCCATCACCCGGCGGATGGCTCCCAGCGCAACCCGTCACCCACCCACCCACATACCCACCCACTTAACGAAATTCGGGTCAAATGCGGGTGGGTCGGCCCAAACCCGCGGATGATCCGCCCGCATGCCCAGCCCTAGTTCCTATACCTGTCATGTTCCTTGGATTATTTACAAGCGGTATTCAAGCTCTTATTTTTGCAACTTTAGCCGCGGCTTATATAGGCGAATCCATGGAAGGACATCATTGATGAATTTTCAAAAAAGTATTTTTTTTATAAAAAATTTTCTGCTTTGCTCAAGATAATCCACTTAGTGAATAGAAATATGGACATAAAGTGAATAAAAAGCTTTCTATGATCTAGAGGAATATTAAAGTAATAAAGGATTCCAATATTAATATTAAGGAATTGTAAAAAGAAAAGGAAAGAGAAATATCATATTTGATTATAGTGCGATGAAAAAGTTGTGGAATGAAAAAGTATTGAGATATTGTTCCAAACATAGCCTATGTTTGGTCCGGCTTTTAGAAGTGCTTTTCGGCTTCAAAAGCTGAAGCAGGGCCAAACACCTCTAAAAGTTCGGCTTTTAAAAAGCTGAAAAGCGCTTTTGTATAACATAAAAGCCGAAGCTCCGATTTGGAGCTTCTGCGAAAAGCTGTTTTGAAAATACAAGAGTATCCTTACCATATTTTATTTTTATTTCATTTATATAATTTTAAAAATAAAATAAATTATAAAATCATATTATTTAATATAAAAGAAGTCTAACAAGATCCATTTTGACTATATTTTATTGTTTATAATTATTATTCATAGTATATATTATAAGTCTTTTATAGTCATTTTACATAACCTCTCATATTAAAAAGGGCTAATACCACTACAACACCCGAACTATTCCAAATATGTCACTTGTATCCTATTGTTTTCAATATTCCATCTGTGTCCTGAACTATTTTTCTGTTAAAGTTGACTTGTTTTGACCGTTCATTTTTAACAGAAAGTCTAGTCAGCGTTGATGTGGCGTATGACGTGGAATTTTCATTTATTTTTTATTTAATAAAATAATTAAAATAAAAAACAATGAAAAAAATAAAACATTTGACATTCCTCCCCAATCTATTATTCCCTTGCTGCCTCCTCATCTCCGCATCGCCGTTCCTCCCCCCATCTATGCATCGCCGTTCCTTCTCGATATCTCTCCACCTCTAACGAAATCGGTTTTTGCTTCTCTGCTCTTTCCAGACCTGGAGACTATCCCAGTTCATCCCCGACGCTGGATTTTCTCCCTAGTTGTCACAATAAAACTCCCCTGTGTGGCGGCCGCCGGAATAGTGAGCCTCGGAGCTTCGTTGCCGTCGAGAGATAGGTGACTCTATCAGCTCCAATCTCATCCAGAAAATTCTTCCCAAGCTGTATTACCTCCCACCTGGACATCCGCTCCACAATCGAAACCACCAAGGCCATCCCATCACTGCCATTAGATAAAATTCAACCCCCAACCCTAATAATCCAAATCCTCCACCCAAATTGTATCCGCCTTGTTGGGAATTTCCCCTCTCCCAGCTGGCCTCCTCTGTTTCTCATCGCAGTCACCGCTTCCTAAACAATCATAGCCAACCCCCAACCTTGCTTACTTCCATGGCTTTCTGAACAAATAGGGAGAGGAAGAAGAAAAATAGAATCAGAAGAATCAGAAGAACAGTAGGGAGAGGAAGAAGAAAAATAGAGGGAGGTTGGATTGCAAACAAAATGGCCCAATATAAACATATGTTTTCTGTAAAGGAGACTGGGACTGGGACGGCAATCACAGTGCGGCGTCGGTACGGATCTGGAAGAGAGAGGTGCTTGCATAGAAGAGATCGATCTACAACAGTCGGAGCCGGATCTGCTTCCCCGCCCTTCTCTCTCCCTCCATCGCGCGCGGCGGATCACCTCGCTAGCGTAGTTTTAGGTTTCTAGTTCTTGTTCGAATACGAGCAGGGGAATCGACTTGTTGATTTCTGGTTAAATTTATTGAGGTCGAACAAGAGCAGGGGAATCGGCTTGGAGAAATTTAGAGAAAGAGAGGGCGAATGGGTAGGAAATAAGAATAATGATTTTTTTTTATATTTTGGATTAAATATATAATTGAATTTATATTTTTTAAAAATTTTAACTCAATTTCTTTTTAATTTGAATTAAAAAAATATGAGGTCAGTGACGTGGCTTCTATGTGGCAGCCACATTCTTTGCCACGTCAACAAAAGTCAACTTTGTGTTGACCACCGTTTGGTCAACTGTTATCTTTAACGGTCAACGAAATTGACAGGATACAAATGACACAAAGTATCAAAGTTGAGGACATGTATGGAATATTGAATACAATAGGATACAAGTGGCATTTTTGCGATAGTTCGGGTGTTGTAGTGGTATTATATTAGCCCTATTAAAAAACACTTTTAATAGTTTTTCAGCCAAACACTCAACTGCTTTTTTTGAAAAGTACTTCTCTAACAGCTCAAGCCAGAAGCTGCTTCTGCAAAAGCTACAGCAGGGCCAAACTGAGCTATAAAAGAGTTCATGGTGAAATTGAGTTTGATTAAACAACTGACTGTGAGAAAAAAGAGTTTATGGTAAGATTGGGTGTTGAGTCCAAATAATTCCGCCAAAAAATGAAAAAGTATTGAGATAACTGTCTAAAGATAAATACAAAATTCTAGTTAAAAATGAAAAATAAAAAATTACATAAACACCTCACTATTGACTAAAAGATTATAGGAAAATTTTGTGTAGAGTATAAAAAATCCAATAGCAATTGACTGTGGGAAAAATATATTAATTATCAAGATAAAATTAGGTGTAGATTATAAGAAAATCCTTTAACAACTGATTGTAAGAAATATAACAACAATTATAGGTTGGGTTGTTAATAATGAGTGGCCCGTGATATATATTAGCTTTATTTAATCCATATTATATTGGGTTGGTTGTTATCAATTGAGGAAGTAGGAGATGCTATAAATGCGTCCACAGGAAATAAAACTCCAACAAATAGTAACCCCTGTACTTACCGATAAAATCGTAATGAACAGTGTCGAAGTAACCATCGTGTATGTAGACTTAAACTGAAATTCAATCAGCTTAACTGGCTTCAGACATTAAAAAATTGGGGGTGAACCTTACTAATTCCTTTTTTATAATGCGCTTTCTGTTTATTTTTTCTTTTAAGTTATATGATTTATTGATCTTAAGTGTGAAACATGCAATAGAAAGAAGCCAACACCTACGGTCAAACTCTTGAAACTTACTAACTCACTTTCTGGTTTGCAACTTTGCATGACATTTTCTAGTAAACGAGAGGTTAAACATTTATTATCCTGACTGTAGTATGGATACTCATCGCCAGCAGAGTCAGGAATCATGGCTGAGATGGGAATGTCTGTTGCACAAGTAAATCAACCCCTTCTCATAACTCTGCTCCCTTCATCTTCATCTATGTCATTTCCTCCTGATGAAAGTTCTTAGACAAAACTAATGAGTTCTCTTTGCATAATTTGTTCATCAGTACTCAACTTTTGGCTCAATCATGACACTTGGAGGAATGTTGGGTTCATTATTCAATGGCAAGATGGCAGATATCATTGGCAGAAGATATGTATGGTTCTCAATCTCAAAAACCCTAAATTTTCAACAATATTGGTATACTCCATAACTAAGTCTATCTAAATCAATCACTTTTTTGCCAGACAATGTGGGTATCTGCATTGTTCTTCCTAGTTTCATGGTCTACAATAGCATTTGCCAAGGTACTCTCTTTAACTTCTTACATCTTTTCCAATTCTATTAGCAAAAGAAGTCCACTACTGAACTTTGAGTTGTCTTCATTTGTTTTTGTTTTGTGTTTGCTGCAAAAACACACAAATAAAGGTTCCATGGTTGCTGGACCTTGGAAGATTTGTACTAGGAATTGCAGTTGGAATCAATGTCTACGTTGTACCTATTTACATTGCAGAAATCACACCTGAGAAGACTCGTGGCGCATTTACATTGACTCATCAAGTTAGTTTTCAGATGTTAATAACTGTGTTCTTTCCATTGACTATGATCTTTGCTATGATGTGGTAATTATGACTCACTTCTAACAATAATGTATCCACTTTCTAAACAATGGTTCTTCTGCTATTGGATTGAGGTGTTTCAGTTCATGATTACCTTTGGTTTTTCGCTAGCCTATGCGGTGGGAACAATCATCTCGTGGCGAGCATTGGCTCTACTTGGTTGGTACATCTTTCTTCAACCTCATGCATGCACTTGATCAAAACAAAAATGAACCTCAAACAAATGGTTGCCCACTTATTAAACTCTTCTGCTGGTTTTGTGCTTCTAAAGGTGATATTCCATGTCTGCTGCATGTTGTGGGTATATTCTTCATCCCAGAGTCTCCAAGATGGTTGGTAAGTCGTAGAAATCTCTGCTAGATTATAGATTGTTGAGGGTTTTCTTTGATATGAATGGTTGATTCGCTTGGATTATGTCAACAGGCAAAGCTGGGGAAAGACAAAGAGCTAGAAGCAACTCTCAAGTACCTAAGGGGAAATGCTAGTGCTGATGATGTTTCCCAAGAAGCACTTGAAATTAAAGTCTGCAACTTCATGGCTTTTCTCAAATATTATTTATACAAGCGTATTCATATGAAATTGACTGATTGTTATTTCCTTCCTAATTTGTTCTGTAGGAGCACACAAAGCTCTTTGAGAGCCTTTCAGAGAACAGAATCCAAGACCTGTTCCAGCACAAATATGCTGATGCACTCATTGTGAGAATCATGATCAAATATGCTATAGCTTCACCAAAACTCTCTCTTGCTTCATTATGTCTAGTAAATTGATCGATTCTTACACGGTTTTCTGTCTTACATTTCCAGGTGGTTGCTGGACTAATGGTGCTTCAAGAGTTTGGCGGAACCAATGCATTTTCATATTATGCTGCTTCTATATTTGAAATGGCGGGTGAGCTCAAATCCTTCTTCTGTTTTGGTTGCTTGCTATCCATTCTTGGTTGTGAATTAGGAATGAAGCAAATGCTTGATCTATGTCGTAGGTCTTTCGGGTACTTTTGGGATGGTATCAATTGCCATTATTCAGGTATGCAGAGTTGTATGATCCCTTGTTCTTGATTCATTTATCCAATCAAATTTTCATGTTCTCTCTCACTCTCTCTATGCAGATTCCAGCTACTATAACATCTGTCCTTCTAACCGATAAACTAGGAAGGCGACCACTTCTTCTGGTTTGTCTCTTCAACTCAAATTCTTGTATACTTGGTTCAGGTTATGGAAGTTTGATCTTATTGATTCAACTGTTTTTAGATATCTGCATTAGGGTTGTTCTTGAGTACCTTCTTGCTTGGACTTGCATTCTTGTTACAGGTGAAGTTCTGTCTTAACACTGATTCAGATAATTTTAGAAAAATAGACATTTCAATTTGTCATTTCATTTTCAGGAACTTGGCAAGTCTGGGACTATTGTTGCCCTCTTGGCATGTATTGGCATGTTGGTAAGCTTGAATGGAAGTCTAACAATGCTAGATTGAAAGATTTCTTTTAGAATGAAAGAAAAAATAATGGTGTGCTTTTATCAGGGACTTCCAATAGCTTTCTCACTAGGAATGGCAGGGTTGCCAGGAGTTGTAATGGCTGAGGTATGAAGCAAACAGATTTCCTCAGGTTTGTTAACTCTCTTTAATTCAACAGGTGACATTGACTTTACTTGTTTTTGTTGTTGCTTCTGCTGCTGGGCAGGTGTTTCCTATAAACATAAAGGGCACGGCTGGAAGCCTAGTAACATTTCTCAATTGGTCATCATCTTGGATTGTCACATACTCTTTCAACTTTGTTATGCTGTGGAATTCAGCTGGTATAGAGCTTTTGGTTGTAAATGGATTAATCATCTTCCCAAAATTGGAGGTTCTTTTCCATTTCTTGCTAACTTCACACTTTCTGGTTTGTTCCATGGTCTGTTTGATCTGTCAGGTACATTTTTTATATTCACGGGGATCTGGATTCTCGGGATTTTGTTTATTGCAAGGTTTGTGCCAGAGACTAAAGGTCGATCACTGGAGGAACTACAGACGTCGATAACTCACATCATGTAGTCATGAAGAAACAGGATCAAAGTGATTATTAATTAGAATTAGTTTTTGATACGTAAAAAGTTTTGTAACTATGAAATTATGTCCATTTTTTAATATATGCTTCTGTATCATATTATTACAAACTTCAAAACATAAATAACTGAATTATCCGAAATATAAAAATTTGATCTTGTCACGATCCGTTATTCTCATTTGTAAAATACAAGGAATCAAATATTGTTTGAGACGTCTACATTGTAAATAGATATCCATTGTGTTTAATTAATTTTGGGAGCAAACTGTATTGAGCAAGCAAACACATATACATAGCAGTAGTTGAATGGTATTTATATTCTTAGATTCAATCAAACTGTATTGATAATACATTTAAATGCAGAAATGGTAGGCTTGCAAGGCATGTCAAAGGAAACAACAAACCCCACAGAAGTGGGTCCATGTCACAGTCAGCACACATTTGTCCTCTTTGAAATACTTTTGTCCCTATAGTTTCCCTCCCAGCAGCCAAGGCCATTGTCTTCCTTCCTGATCCTTTTACCTTCAGTAGCCATCTAGTTCTTCATTTTCCATCTCGTCTCATCCACAGAACAACTGCGCAGCTAAAGTAAAACAATGGAAGAAGAAGGAGAAATTTCAAAATCTCTTATAGAGAAACAAAGCCCCCAACTACTAGCAAGAGGCCACGGCAATGGTGGAGAAGGAGAAGAAGAAGGGCAGAAGAATGATGGATGTTCTTCAGCTTCAACCATACTTGTCCTTAGCACCATGGTAGCTGTTTCAGGTTCATACGTTTTTGGCACAGCTGTGAGTCCTCTCTTGATCATCAACCCAGAGTCGACACCTCTCTTTTGTTCTATCTCCAAACTGAAACAGAACTTCAGAATCGTTTTTCAATTTTCTTATACAGTCTATATATATATTAAACAGATTGGTTATTCATCCCCTACTCAGTCTGGAATCATGGATGACCTTTCTCTGTCTGTGGCTCAGGTAACCATAAAGTTCTTAGCTTTCTGTTCTTGCTTTTGTAAATATCTCGCTTATGGGGGTTTTTTTTTTTTCCTTTATGGGTTTATGCAGTACTCTCTATTTGGTTCAGTATTGACAATTGGAGCTATGGTTGGAGCAGTAATGAGTGGGAGGATAGCTGATTACTTTGGTAGAAGGGGTGTATGTCCTTGTTTTCACTACCATTGATATACCTGCATTTTTACCTAGAGTTTTTAATTTTGAAATTACTTAATTTTTTACTTTGAGGCAGTTAATGGGATTTGCAGAAGCTTTCTGCATCATAGGCTGGCTAGCAATAGCATTTGCCAAGGTTAATTCAATCAGCAATCAATTCCTTAGTTCCATCTTGTTTCCCATCGTTCATTTTACCCTGTACTGAGATTTTTATTCCTTTTTTTAGGTTTCTTGGTGGCTAGATGCTGGGAGGCTGCTGGTTGGTTATGGAATGGGGCTTCTTTCCTATGTGGTAAGTCTTCAGTTGATAAACTGCCAGTCATAATCCAGCTTCAATCAATCATTCTACATGCTGAACTCTAACTTAAGGGCCAATCCAAGTGAAGGTACCTGTATTCATAGCCGAGATCACACCAAAGAATCTAAGAGGAGCATTCACAACAGTTCACCAGGTAACCTTATGCTTTCTTAACCATAGTCAACTGATTGACCAATTTTTTGTTTAAAGGCAATTTTTCACCTCAGTCAGACCCACTGGATTTTTCTGCAGCTGATGATTTGCTTTGGTGTGTCTTTCACTTACCTAATCGGCTCTTTCGTGTCATGGAGAATCTTAGCTCTCATAGGTAACCATGTTGTAACCAAAATCTTGTGGCATTTCATTGATGTTAGTTTTGGTAATAAACAGAAAGCTTTTGTTTTTGGGGGGTATCAATTTGATCAGGAACTGTTCCATGCATTATTCAGCTCTTAGGTCTGTTCTTCATTCCTGAATCTCCTAGATGGTTGGTGAGTCCTCCCTCCACTCTTTTTTACAATATTCATGAATTGGTAAAATGGTTTTCTTCAAGATTGTAATCTTCCTTATTAAACTCTTACAGGCAAAAATTGGCAGAGGAAAAGAATGTGAAGCTGCTTTACAGCTTCTCAGAGGAAAACACTCTGATATATCTGATGAAGCAGCTGCGATAAGAGTAAAAGTTCCAATCATTTTGTACCGTCTTCAGTAGCTTTTCATGGGAAACTGAGAATTTTACTTAGTAATACTGGGATAATGGTTTCCCAGGATTATACTGAGACAGTTGAGAGGCTTTCTGAATCCAGCAGCATGTTTGAGTTGTTCCAGTGGAAATATGCTCATTCTCTCATAGTAAGACTATCCAGCCCAACTCTTCTATCAGCTTTTTAGTTATTTTGACATAAAAAAATTCATTTCCATTACTGAAATCCGTATGAAGGTTGGAGTTGGTTTAATGGTGCTTCAACAATTTGGAGGTGTCAATGCCATTGCTTTCTATGCAAGTTCCATATTTGTATCAGCTGGTATATATACTGCAATCATTACAGACTTAAGATATATCAACTGCCTTCCAGGAAAAAAGAAATCTGAGTTCATTTCTCCTCTATAGGATTCTCTGGCAGTGTTGGAACCATTGCAATGGTCGTTGTTCAGGTTAGTGATCTTGGTCCCTTTAAACTGGGGTCATGTACATATATGGTCACTGTCTCACTGATAGAACAGTCTCTGAAGTTTGCTTTCTAACAAGCATGATACTGAAATTGTTAGTAACTAGCATAACAATCACTGCAGCTGTCACCATCGCATTTTGTCATCCAAATTAGTGTGTGTCAACACGAACTTAACAGCAAATGAGTATATAGACACCAATTAGCTAAAATGGACGACCCATTTTAGTGAATGCTTAATCCAGATAAAACACATTACTCAACTCAGTTCGAACTAGAAACCTTGCCAATCTCTTCCTTCCTTATAGGATAGCTCATTGGATGCCTATTTGGCATCTCTAGCTATTTGTTTATGGGGAAATTGATATTCTGATCTGGTTGATTTTGGCAAAAACTTGTCGGAGAGGAGGTATTGTCTATTATATTAGTTATCTCAAACTTTAATTAAGATCCGTCAATTATCAAAGCTTAGTGACCCTGCATGTCGTTGACCATTTCGAAGTGTACTTTTGAGTTCTTCAACTTGATCTTCTGATCGTTTTTCTTGTAGATACCAATGCAAGTATTAGGAGTCGTGTTGATGGATATATCAGGAAGAAGGCCACTTCTCATGGCAAGATTTCATTCCAAAAGTTTCTGTTGCATCATCAGATCAAGTAGACATCTTGAAGCTGAATGTTTACGTCTGGTATATTTTTGTTGTCCCCACAGGTTTCTGCAGCAGGCACAGGCTTGGGTTGTTTCCTTGTAGCATTATCATTTCTGCTTCAGGTTTTTCACTAAACCTTAACTGAAACCTCTTCCAAATGTCTCACTTCCATTACTCTTCCTTACTATAACACCTTCTGATCCCCTTCATGATCAGGGCCTTCAAGTATGGACACACATCTCTCCATTATTTGCCCTTTTCGGAGTCCTGGTAAAACTTTCAAACCCTCAGATTATCGAATATGTGACTAAATGTTTAGAATACTAAACGTAACAATCACTCCGTCAAATTTTTTCGAATTGTATTGCTTCCATATATCAGTGACTGATTGTGACCTATTTAGGTAATTAACCCATCTTCTTTTCCTTCCTAACTCGCTTCCTACTGCTGCTGCGAACCAGATCTATACAGGGTCATTTTCACTAGGCATGGGAGGGATACCATGGGTCATAATGTCTGAGGTACTAATATAATAAACAGTGGAGTAGGGTGATACAAATAATAGACCAAAAAGATCAAACCTTGTCCAAAAACTGTAATTATGGTTTGGAATTGGTGGTATGGCAGGTATTTCCCATAAACATGAAGGGGTCAGCAGGGAGCCTAGTGACATTGATTAGCTGGTTAGGGTCTTGGATTGTTTCCTATGCGTTCAATTTCCTCATGGTTTGGAGCTCATCAGGTGATCTCTCAGTCTTCTCTTCTTATCAGTTTGAATCCTAGAACTTGCTTAATTTGACTGATTGTAATTTGTTTGCAGGGACGTTCTTCATGTTCTCAGGGATTTGTGGGGTGACAGTGGTGTTTGTGATGAAGCTGGTCCCTGAGACTAAAGGAAGAACGTTGGAAGAAATTCAGGCTTCTATGAACCCATTTTCTGGGAGGAGAGACAGATTTTGATTCTTATACTAAATAGTGCTGGGCTTGGTATGAGAGTTGGGCTACACTTGGTTAACACGTGAAAACTGAAAACTCCCACCTGCAGCCAGAGAAAATACAAGATAGGGTAATTATATTGAATAAGATAGGGGTTTGGATTTTGTATTCCGGACAAAAAGATTATTTTGAATTGGGAGAAATTATTTTGAAATCCTCATCGAAATTCCCAGCTGACTTAGTCAGAGAAAGACTAGTTATAAATTCTAATAATCTAACTTTATTATTTTTGAATGTTAACATTTGTTCAATTAGTTGGGTATTTGAAAACTCTTGAATTGATTTAAAGTGGGGTTTGAAAATAGTTTGAACGCGACCGAGAATATATGTTCTTACAATTTTATAAACACGATGGTTACATAATTGTCAACTTTGTAATTCGACAGTGAACAAATAATTCCCTTTGAAATTGTATGAGCACAAACTTCTTATTTTGTAACAAAATGGTTATACTTCTTTTCATAATGTAACAAATGGTCATAAAAATTGTCAATAATAGTTTGGTTCTCAGGTGGCTGGGTTAGTTTGGTCCGTTAGAGCACTCTTAATGAAGTGAAAAAATTAGAGAAAGAGAGGAATTTGTATCAATTATCTCGGAAATCATAATTGCCTCGATTAAAACTCGCGTTTGGTTCAAAATTGACCGAATCAAAGATCGACCAAACCGAACCCAACTTCCCATCAATACTAATAAACATAATGCACACATTAATTATGAAAATTTAGATTTTGGTTTGGGGTACTATTAAGGGGATCAATTGTTTGGGTTTATCAAATCAAACTGAGCATGAATTTAGTTCGAAACATGTCAAACCAAATTATTCTTGGTTCAAAATGATTGCACTTCCATACATTTTCTTAGGGCAAATTTGAGTAAGTTCGGTTTCGACTAAACTGAGCAAATGCCTAACTTGAGTTTTGGATCGTTGATGTTTGTCCGACCTAATGTCCCTTAGTGAGTGGCGTTCAAGATATTTGTTCTAGTGTTCAACGAATACATGGCTCAAAATCCTCGATGTTATACTCCATGACCTTAACTACTTTCAAAAAAAAAAAAAATTAAGATCTTGATTGACCATATTGACTCTTTGGGTCAGTAGGCTAGATTGATTCTTTCTAGCCCAGTACTCGATACTCTAGGTCATGACTGTTACATTCTTGTGTGTAAGACATTATGGATTGCTAAAGGTATGTACTTTTAACTAGGATATTGGACAGTTTTTGGGTTGAAATAAACGCCTAAGTATGCTCCTTGGACTTGGGGTGCTAAAGAAATTCATGAAGCCAATTGTGTTTGCATAATTCTCAACACTACTTCATTAGATTGATATACACTCTGATAAGTGAATACTTCTACTTAACTTGTTAGTGAATTGTATAATATTCATGATTGAACATCTCCCAACAATGCGTTGTTGGAATTAATTGATTGTTTACATGGTATTAGAGCATTCCATAATCGAGAGCTCTGGTGTTCAAATGTCGATGACCTCCAATGTTAAGCACATGGTATTCAGACCTGTACAAACTTCAACTCCATTGGTTTTCGTTTGAGAGGGTGTGACGGTAATGATAAATATATGTTTCAACAACTTGAATTATTAAAACCAAATGGTTCTTGATACTACATAACTATTACTATGATAAGTATATCTCCATCGAATGAGAGTTGGAAAATGTGTGTATCTCACTGCGATTTGTCTCGCTCCCTTAACTTTGTTAAAATATAAAGATTTGCTTTTTACTTGAGTAACCATGAAACGATAAGTGGTTTATACCAATGTGTGATCAGTTAACTGAATTAAAAGTTTGTGTGAAAAGAATCGATTGGTTGATAGATGAGATTGCATGCAAAAGTATATAAATGCGTGAATATAAATAAATTTATGTGAATAAATGATAAAATTGTGTGAATTTTATGTTTGAATATTTAGGAAAAAAATATCTCTCTAAAAAGTAAAGCTTGAATCAAATTCACTACATATCAATGTATAAAAGTAGGAGGGAAAATGATAAATATGATTATTCAATCTAACACCATCTTGATTGGGTAATATTGTCAAGCAGTTTTTCTATTGTTTTTTTAGTTTTTTGAACTCCCCCATCTTTTTTTAAAAATTGCCTCATTTTCTCAATTGAACTAATTTCTAGAATCTAGTATTCCGCATTGTAGTTTTATCATCCAAAAGAGGAACTCATAAAAGACCACAACATAACAAGAAAAACAAAATAAAACGTGTGGATAAACTAGATGAACGAGAGAATTGAAAATAAATACCATCCACCTATGAGCATTATCACAATCTAACTCAACTAATATAACAAACATCTTTTTATGGATTATAATTTGACAACTCAATTATTGCAAGCTGAAATCGCTTTTGATTGTTTTGTTTTCAATCAAGTTTGAACAAAGTTAATGAAGGTAAAATCTCCATTTGCTCTCTCTTTAGATCTCCTCATGTTTATTTAATCACATCAAATTCCAACCAATACTTAAAATCGCTAATTTTATTCCTTATTTCTCACTTACTCGTGGGGTCCTCATAATTATTCCTTTGTCAGAAGATTATAGAAGACCCCTCATCCTCTACTCTTAAATATATTGAGTTGAAGAGTGGAATCATAAGAACGATAAGATCTTCTTCTCCATCGAAACGAAGTAAAGTACTGCTCTATTTCTTGTATTATACATATTAGTTAGTGTTATTAATGCGGCTCCTCACACTTTGTGTATATTCTCTCTCTTGTTGGCTCTTCTTCTCTTCCTCCATCTTAGGAGCCATCCACCATAATAATTTTGATAAATTTATCATCGAAATTGTTATTTTTATTATTATCATTATTATATCACTCGATAAAATAGTCACTCACCTCATCTTCATTCCTCCACCACTGTCTCTCCCAAACAAGCTTTTAAATTCCCAAATTACCCTCTTTGTTACTTCCCTTCTTTCCTTCTTCTTCCATCCAAAGAGTCCTAAAAATATTCTCATCACTCTCGTCAATTCAATTTCATCATCATAACCATGATAATAATTTTCTGCAAGAAGAGTGTTCACTCCTTCCTCAGAGTCCTCTCAAATTCATACCTCCTTCCTCTGCCAATGCCATCGCCATCGCCATGCAACAAAGGTCTTAGGCTAATAACCTCCACTGGCAAAATCCACATCCACCGCCCTCCCAATGTAATCGAATATGCCTCCATAGTTACGTCTCCTCCGCCTTCGTCGACGCTGAGCAGGGGCAGAGGCATCATGGAGAAGGGTGGATCCCTGACACCACCCTTGGGCACAAAAGATTACCAATATATACTTCCCATGGAGATGAAACCAGATCTTTTATGCTTCAATGACGATTGCTGAATTGTTGACCAACAAAATTTATGTTGTTTCACTGATCTCAGATAGTTTAATTAGTATAATAGAGTTTAAATCTTTGCTTACTTTATGAGGTGAACACTAAATTGCTATGTTGTGTGACCTGCTTAAATTCGGATGTTGGTTTTTTTTTTTTACTTTGACAAGAAAAACTATTAAAAATTGTTACCTTTTACCCTAAGAAATTCTCTAAAGATGATATTTTATATCATGATACTCAATTGGATAGTTATATCTTTGATGTGAAGACAAATAAGAGATTCACTAAATTAAAGGGAATTGTTGCGCATTTTAGGGATCTAGTTGTTGTGTCGAAGATGTTCCGACCATTTCCATTGGTGTATTGGCATGTGAAATTGGCGTTGTTGCTACCACCTACCAGTCCCCACAACAAGTGTTGACAGAGTATTTTCTACAACGAACTATCTGAACAACACATTGCGAAGTCGAATGAGTGATGAAGTGTTGAATGGTTTTTTGGTAGAATATATCTAGAGTGATATTCTAGATAATTTGGATGGTTAATGTAGTTTAGAGTGTTTTCAAAATAGGAAAACCAGTCGTAGGTAATTGTAAACATTTATAAATTTTATTTTATAATTTTTTTATTGCATCGGACCCACACTAGTAGAAATTCTTACTACGACACTGCCGTTGAGTTCAATCATTGACATTACATTCATAGAACAACTCGATAATAGAGGAGTCCGATTTTTCGATGGATTGACATCCTGCACCGAGAGCCTCGGGTTTGAGAGCTTCAATGATCAGTGCATCGACGATGATGATAGAAATAAGAAAAATAATCATAGTTCTAATGGTTGTTCGATGGCAACACGGAGCAGTAGAAAAATTGTAGATGCGAGCATGAGATGGAGGGAAAGGATTACAGAGAGAAGGACAAATGGAGGCGAGGAAGGTGAATAAGTTTCCACCGCCTATCTCATCGTTGAACAAGAACGGGCAGCCGAACTTCTTTCTCCGTCCTATGAGGAAGGACGGGCGGTTGGATCCGACGGAGGTGAGAATCAATTGACCTGAGGTTCTTAGGGCGTCGAGGGAAGATGGGCGTTTGTGATTGCTCCTCCTTCGGGTTGACAAAATCAACGGTAACGATGATGGTGATAATTGCACCATTGACAATGGTGTATGCAAGGGTTATCCGGAAGATTTGCATGCAACTAATGAGGAAATGGCGTCGCAGTGTGTGGCACCGGAAGAAGATGCAGAAGAGAAAGAGGATGAGAGATCATGGTGATCATGTTTAGAGGAGAAGGAAGAGGTTAAAAATGATAAATTATGGAGAAGCAATGAAAACCATAATATGGGAGAGGGATGGAGTTACTCTCCTGTGAACGGAAGGGGTTCTGACAGTGTTACGATATGTTGAGTCACAATGGTTGTGGCGGGCATTATTATCACATTGTAGAGATCCATAACTCCTGTGTACAGAAGGGGTTCTGAGAGTGTTACGATATGTTGAGTCACAATGGTTGTGGCGGGCATTATTATCACATTGTAGAGATGCAAATGTGGATGCAACATTTTGTGACAACGAAGTGAGGCAATTGGATTTTTTTTTGTCAAGATAATCAACAATTTCGTCAACTAGAGAGGAAATTAATTAAGTATAAGACTATTGGAAGATAGAAGAGAAAAAAAGAACGCTAGAGTTTTTTTCTTGAGATTGTTATTTTTTATTAAATATTATTTTTATGGTTATTGTGTGTTTGTTTTGAGGAGGGACTTTCAATTGAGTGAGAGTTTTACTATAAAGTGCATAATCTTTAGAGGTGGAGAAAACACCTTTGTAATTATTAATTTTATTTGTTTTTTATTTGTAATTTTGATTTTTCCTTATCAGATAATTGTATATTGTGTATACATTGGTTTGCTCACTCTCTAGGATTGTTCAACTTTGGTTTGTTTCTTTTTTGGAATTTTAACAGTGAAATGTGTAGTATTTATAAAATTAAAGTCAATATAATATTTTCAGTAAGTGAAGTAAGTGTTTTGCCTTTGATAAAAAAAAGTAAGAGTTTTGCCAGCTTTACATGTAGAAAGATGTGGGATGAATGAAACTAAGTAGCTATGATCAGTTAGTTGAACACATCATCAGCTTGATTGTGTCGATTATAGCGATAGTGTCTATGTAAAGTGTAAACTAATATTGTAAGATTGTGTGGTCAAGGATATAAGCTTTTAGATATAATGTATTAAGACTTGAGATTATTAGATGTGTGAATGGACAATATCATTCTAACATACGTTCAATCCATATAATCATATTCTGCATATTCTTCATTAACTTTAGAGGAAGAAAGTATTGGAACAAGTTAAACCTGTCAAGCCCGCTGACAAACTCACCACTACTGGATGTTAAGCCCTCGGTAGCCCACATCGCATGTATGCAAGGTATTCTCCCTCGATATGCACTAACAAAAAATTGTTGTCGAACGGAAGCACATACACATCCTAGAGACTGCTTGCTCTCTCTGGTAGGCTATTTTTCCCATAAAGTTTTGGGGGTGAATGTATCCTCAGGACCACTTTTCTCGTTAATCGCCTCCTTACTAGAGCTATGGGGAAGACATCTTATGAGATAATTTTTGGCATGTCAACTTGTTATCAGAATCTATGCATTTTTGGTTGCCTTGTGTATGATAAGAACACACATGCCAACCTTGACAAATTCGAAGCTCGTCATCACTTGTTTGTTTCTCAACTATGCTCCAAATTAACAAGGGTATAGGCTCTATGAATTGGCCACTCATAAAATACTGACAAAAGACGTGGTGTTCCATAAAACCTCTTTTCCTTTTTTATGATACTAACCAAGCTCATTTGCGTGGGTCCCTCGGCTTATGCTATCACCGTACATTGACGTTGGGCACTTGCATGATGATGAGACAAAACACTTTGCTGCCACAGAGTTCACTTCCACATCACACAAGCCTATTTTCCATGAGTCTCCAGATATGGCATCTTCTTCATCTGAATCCTCTGTTCCCTCTTTGGCACTAGTTCATCCAACAAGACGTTTTTAGTTTGGTGGCACTGTCTTACAACTCATCACCATCCCCGCGCTCAGTTCCTAAACTTCACTACAATGATCATTCTCAAACTCATCTTGCGTATTTAGACGACTTTGATACCCGCACAAAGACTCTAGCTATGAACACGAGGGTTGCTCAAGGACGTTTCGTTCACTCGGTTCGTTATCCTCTCTTCCATCTGTTAGAAGTAATAGGTAGTTAATTGATGAAGACCAGACTGCTGATATGCTCCAAAGGCTATAGCTGCTGCTCGCCATTATTTTATGGCATACAAATTGATGCTGCATAAGCACCATCAATTTGAGGGAGGGTGTTAGAAGTAATAGGTAGTTAATTGTAATTAGACTTTAATTATTCTGATTGCCTATTACTATGTGAGATAGGGTTGGGAGGCTAGGGCATATATTGTTGTGATAGCCCTCTTTGTAACCTAAGGACTCTCCGCTAACACGATTGACTCTGAGAGGTTGCTCCTCTTCGTGGATTAGTCTCAACGATACTCATTGATGATACCACGTAAATCCGGTGTTTTTGTCCTTTTTGCGATTGTGTTTGACACCATCACCTTGATTATGCTCATTTTACTTTGTTATATTGTGCCTTTCTTGTTGCAGTCATCAACCATGTCGAGCCTCGGTTCTTTCATTATTACTATCAGCCAAACATGTTAGTGAGAGGCTATATCCAAGTAAACTTGAGCCTTGGAGTTAAACAAGTCATGGATCTTGGTAGAATTACTTAAAACTTTTTGTATGTCTCTTTAACCACTTGGATATATCGCACAATCGTTGTTATAAGTGCATCATTCAACTAATAACTAGTTTTGCAGAAAATTTCATTGCTAAGCTTCGTCTTCATTGCTGATTGGGAGAAGGAACATGAAAAGATACAACAGACATTGCCAGATAAAGAGCTGCTAAGATCCTCATCCCATTAATCTCAACCTACATCTGACTTTTGAATCTAATGTCGTGATCTTGTCTTTGTTTCTACCTCATTTTAGGCAGCTGGAGGGAAATAGTATAATAGAACGAGATGGAGAAGAATTTATTTACCACATTCTAAGGTTTAAAAAAGAGCTAACTAGTCAGGGTTGGTGTACTCAAGCAACATGTGTGGTGTCCGAAAAATCTTCACCAACGTCCAGTAAAGAACCTCTTCCACCTCTAGCTCTCCTTCCGCTCTCGCTGCATAAATATTCTCACATATCGCCAACAGCCTGCATCAGCAACAAAAAGGAAATGAAATTTGATCAATGTACGTGTTCAAGATGAAAGATTGTTGGTCAGGACATCCATCTATTTACCTCTCGCAAGAAGGAAGATTCTCGAATGGTATTCTCATTCTAAGATCAGAGCATTGCAGCCTGATGAACCGACCAACAGCAAGGACAAAGGTAATGTACAATCCCCATATGCTGAACTTGCTTAGTGTCTCGCCTATAATCCCCTCTACAAAAAACCATCAAACTTGATCTTAGTTTGGTGGTATAGTTGCTCTTTAGGTACAAACTACTCCTACTATAATGGTCATAGTAGATAAGTAGCTTTACGCGGTGTTTCTTCTGATATGATCACGGCCATAGGCCCAGTCAACTTCCCACATCCAGACGTCAATGCACTCGTATCAAGGAATGACCACCAATTTGAGTTCTCTCGATTGAGAACTAGATCTCCACTCACCATATCCACCTGCATATAACATCAACAATATAGGAGCCAAATGCAAAAACCTTTTCTTTCAAAAAGTGAAGATGAAGAAGCCACATACCGATTGTTCAAGTGACCGGACATCTCCAGATCCAGTGACCCGAAAGTACCTAGGATAGACATTGTATATGCCGAAGCTGTTGGTGGTACCATTTAGAACTTTCATGACATCAGAGTAAGAAGGGAGATCCTCGTCCTGGACAACCAACTCATACCTCACGGCTTCCTTTCCTCTTGGTCTGTCCCTCGTGAATTTCCAAGTGAAAATGATGTCCATTGAACGCCCAAGGGACCTTGTGTATCTGTCCTGCACAACTTCTGGGACGCGCCATAATGTACTGGCATCGGCTTGGCAACATATAAGTTGAATATCTTGCTTGTTATACGAGCTCAAGTATCCTTGAGGGTCTAGGTTGATGCTTGCGTCATGTCTCTCCCATGGGATCTTCTCACATAGAGTTGTTTCATACAAAGTAAGCCTGCCACTCAATGACCGTATCTCGATTCTTACGTTGGCATCTTTGATTGGATTGGCAATGTTCGTTGGGTTTCCGCTGCTATACATCTATAGAGGAAAGAAATTACTCCATCAATACATGTGAAGAAGGCTAGAAAATGTTCATATACAACCAATCACTACTTTAGGAGTTATCACATAGATATGGTCACTTAGTCTGGGGTCACTCAACTTTGACCAAAGTTGGAATAACCAATAGTGTAAGAGCCACTTTGTTCATATATATATATATCCACATCAACATCTCAACTCAACGAAAATAATAATTAGGGAAAAAAGCACCTAGTATCGTTCTATTAGCTATCAAGGATTTAACCATTTAAACCACAACCTAAAAACCTTCAAGAACTTATTAGGAGCGTATTTTTTTATTGCTAGAGTAATATGATGACGTGTTTATATGAAAAATGTAGACGAAAAATGAATGAAGATGGATAGTGTCTACTATATCACTTACTTTAACTTTAGTGATAAGTTCATTCATAAGTAAAGTGGAGTGATTAGTTTGTTAGAGTTCAATGGCATGAAACACACCACTTCTAAGAATTTATATCCCAGCCTAAACCCTTTTACCCTTATCTATTTTCTTAAACTTGTTGAGGCAGTACACTCCTAAGTCAGTAGGTTTTTGGGATAAGATTATTGTACAAGGACATCAAGAAAACAAAGCAAGTATGAGATTCTAACCAGCATGGGAGCCCATATGACACACATGAGTATGAAGAACAAGCATATCCCATTACAAAACTTGGTCATCTTCGCCTGCTTATTCCCTTGTTGATGTTTTGCTCTATATAGATCAGCATCACATTTCACGAGAAACAAACTTGCATGAATGTCCTCCAACTAATAAAAAAATATCATTACAATTAGTTACCAAGAATGAGCTTATGCTTTTGTATGCACACATTGCAATGTATGTACATACCTTCAACCAGTCATACATGGTCAACGACGTGGTAGTGCATGACCAATCGAGCACACATCGTAGTTCATATAGGAAAGGGAGAGCACGATAGATTCGGAAACCCAAGTAGTTAATCCTAGATATGTTGCTTGTCAAAAACTGTCTATACAAAGTACTCTCATGTGGGATTCCATGGTGTATTTGTATGGCCTGAAGGGTCAGAGAGATCGCCTTTGCCAGATAGATAGCTCGTAGAGCTAACCTTCCAGCATTACTATGTTGGGGCTCCATTTTCCAGGCATACTTAGTGACAGCATAAGTGAAGAGCACAATGTTAAACAAGTAAAAGAAGAGCTTCCCCGTGGCAAATGAGCATAGATATATGACACGATCGAGTACTATAAGGAAAAAAATCACCTGCATAAAGGAAAATAATTTTAGAGATTGAAATATATATAATATTAAGGGGGCAACAGAGAAGTTTGCTCTACAAATAAGATGTTTATCCACATTAGTTAGTATAATGTGTATGCATGATTCACATGTTAACCCCAACCTCTAGATATTATTCTAATCATAAATAAGTTAACATCAATAACTAATTAGATAGATGAAAAGAGAGACTATTACCATCAAGACACATACAAAATCTTCAGGAAACTGATCCTCAAGCTGATAGACTTCAAGGAACTCACTATTGTTCTTCATAACCGATTGATAAAAGATAGCAACCAAGAAAAACACAGACAAATCTGCACAAAATATGTACGCGTAAAGATCGATATGTTTCTTCGCCCCACCAATCACTGAGATCACTGGATAAGGGAACTCTATCACTTTAAAAGCACCAACTAGCTGAGCTTCCAATATCTCTGAAGCAACATCAGCAGCCGGAGTAAGAGACTTGTGGTACTCTGGGCGCACACATGTCTTCAATGGTGATGCATACAACACCTCGAACACAGCAAGCGCGACACTCTCGTCTTCAGGACTTCTCTCAACACTCTGCAAACGAACTTTGCTTGCCAAGTGGAAGTGATTTGGACTCCTTTCCTGACACCTCTTGTCATGAACGATCTTCAAAAGCTTGTTGACTCCCAATTTCATCTTGTCGAGTTGGATCCCATCTTCTGGCCATGTGTCAACTTTCATCGATAACTGGACAAAGTAGGGTGGAGTTTCTGCGCCTTGAGTTATCGACTGCCAGAACCAATACATCTTTCTGAAGCAAAGCTCTACCGAGAGATAACTCCTTGAAGCTGGATTGATCATGCTATCATGAACCACCACTCCACCTAAATGGCATTTACTTTTCCTCCTTTGATTGTTGAGATCGGCAATCATTGTAACACATTCGCCATCTCGAGCTGTTATAGATGTTTGCAATAGTGTGAACAAGTAGACCAGAAATAGAGGCCAGTTGCTTAGGACGAAAGAAGAGAGGATCTTATGATTAGGGAATCCTAGTTCCTGAAGCAAACTCATATTAAAAGTCAACCCACATCGTTGGATGGTGATTTGATATATGTATTGTGCCAAAATGCACATCTCGGTGTAGATTAGTATGATCACCCAGAATATGTTACTCGGGCTTGTGTTGACAAAGAGGGCATATAGAAAGAGAACTGCAGGATAAGCCATTGACAATAAGCTGAAGTTCCATAAGAAAACTAGAACAAAGCAACAGTAGCACACAATGTCGTTGTTTGAACGCATCTGACCCCAAATGTAACGTAGTATCATCCCGATTTGTTGACATGATGTTTGCTCTCCCTCAGATTGCATGGAGAATGTCCATTGCATGTGTTCTGAAGTAGTACCAATGTTATTCTGATTTGTTTCTGTAGTCATCTCATCTTGAGAGGAATCGTCAGCCGAGGCATAGTCATCTTCTTCCTCTTTGATGTTCAGCAGATGGACGAGGTTGTTTACAGCCATATTCCCTAAAGATTGAACCTGAGAGACTCCATCATTGAATAGATGTATCAAAGTATTTTGCTTCATATTTCCATGAAACTTGTCCCTTTTGTGTGATGATGATCCCGCAAACCCGTAAGCAGCAACAACACTCGTATCTTTCACCTCAATGATTTCACAGGTTGGGCTTTCAGATGCTTTTTCACTAACAGGAGACCCACTTACATCTAATGGGCACATTATTACTTCGGAGCTGAAGTTAAATCCACTCGGAGGAGTTTGGAACTTTCCATCGACTTCCATGTCATCATTGATATCTGTGTTGAGAGAACATGAGTTTCCTGCCGTCCTAATGAAAGTGTCTCCTTGTTGGAGTTGAATTTGAAGGTTGAGCATCTCAGATTTCATCTTCTCGACTTGAAGATTACGTAGGCGCTTCTGTTCTTCAGCTTTACGTATTTGCTGCAATTGCTCAGTTTTCCAAGCAGCACGCTTTTCTTGCTCCTCAATTTTTGCGCCGATCTGTTCAGCTTCGATGTACTTTGCCACGTAGTCAAACTCGGGAGCTGAGAACATGTACGATTGTAAGGACACTAGCATGTAGATAATGATCTCGACTAAAGCTGATCTCGAAGTGATACGAAACCCATAATCGTACTTGTAGAACCCCACCACATTGCTTATGTAGGCTATGAGCCCACATTTTCCATCACAGAAGTTTCCCACATAAGGCGATTGGTAAGCAAGAGAGAGGACAATTATGGCGAAGTTGTACATTCTCAGGAACTTGAATATCTTGTTCTTTTTCTTAAGCATTTCAAGTCTCATTCTGAAGAATACTAAGGCAAAACCAAGGTATCCAAGGTGGAGGACATCAAATTCCAAGGTCCCAGTGATGAGGATTAAGGCGAGGACGAGGTCCAACAAGTGGCAGTAGCTGTATAGGCGAAGATAATCAAAGAATGTCCATAGGTATTTTGTTTCGAAGGAGAGGTCGTTGAGTGAAGAACTCTTGTACTGGCATATCATTTGTTGATAGCTCTCAGATACTGCCAGGCTGGACAAACGGTCAGCACGAAATTTGAAGCATGCCAGTAAGAAGACTACATAGTAGCTTATTAGAATGCATGGGTCGTCAACTATAATTCCTGCATAGAGAAACTAGGCTCAACATTAAGATGACATGTCCCAAAAAAATTCTGAAGTGATCTCATTTACTCAACATTAAGAGAAACATACCTGACCAACACTTTTTGCAGTGATCAAAAAACAGGTCGGAGCTTTCCCAACAGTCATTGCAAGGAACTTTTCGACTAATTCCCGGATTAAATTGCTCCCCAAATCGGAAAAACCAAATGGCTAAGTACTCTAGAGTGATCACAGATCCAAATAGGAACACAAATACAGGCCAAAGTTTCCTTGTCAAATGACAAGGCAAGAGAATGAAAGCAGCCAATGATGCAACGTAGAGCAAAGATATCGTATTAAGAACTGCAAAGCTTGCAATAAGCAATGCTATCATATTGATCTCAAGGCCAAACAGATTAAAGATGTTCTCTACCCAAAACTTCAAATACACCTTTAGAGTCCTTATCTGCATTCTGAGCCTCTCATGTCTCAACATATGAATCTGCTTTCGAGTCCATTTATGTCTTTCTTTTGAACTCCCACTTATATTATTGAAATCTTCTCCGTTAATATTGCTCCCTTCATTTTCAGCATCAGAAAGCCCAATAATGAAAGATGCCCATGATTGAATTCCCACTTCATTTTGCTTCTCCAACAACGACTTTGAAAGTCCATTATCCCTACTAACTGGACTTGATCTCGTCTTATAATACTCCTCGGATGAGTAAAGCAATGGACAAGACTCATCCCATTTTCCCATCTTCCCAAACTTGCATGGATATTTTCTCAACCAATGGAACACATTGTACCTAAGTAAGCATGATACAATAACCAAAACTTTCCCTCTCATCCCTGACTCCAAACTTGTGAAACAAGGCATGTAAACTTGCAGCCCAAGAAACAATGAAAGAGGATAATTACTTTGTCCAGGGAACATGTTTACCTGTTGCCCCCATAGCTGGAAAAGATACTCGACCATCAAAACAAACCCGGAGTATGCAAGAAATAGCTTTGAGGGAAGCCAAGACGACTTTGGTAAAGTTGAACAAGCCACCATTCCAACAAGATACAAAAACCCAAATCCGCTTATCGGTGATAGAGATGCATAGAACAAAGAGAGGTTTAGTATTTTCTCCCCATGCCAAATGAGTAAACGTTGTACCAATGAAAAAGAAGGTTGTCTACTTGTTTCTTCATCAACATTGGTATACCCTTGCTTGTTGATTTGTCGCCTTTCATAACTATACAACTGCATCACCACTAGCACAGCAAGGGATTCCCATATATTTTCCACCATGGAGGCTTTAGGATCATAGCCAAAAACTGAAGAGAGGTCGACTCTTTGTGATAACCATTTTCGAAAGCTGAAAAATACGCTCAAGGTGTAAAGTAGGATGAACACAAAAATGGCATATACTTTCAGAGGTAACCACATCTTTCTTGTGGTCTTTCCTAAGAGTTGTCTTGAAACCATCCATACCATAAGGAAGAAAAGGTAACCAAATGAAGTGTGGTTTGGTTTGACTCGGTAGACGGCAATGAGAATTGTTAGAAGAGCAATATAGGTCCCACATGAACGATACAGTGATCGGAAGTTTTGTCCTATAGCTGTTAGATATGAAGCAATCATTTTTTCTGCAGAGCCAAGCCAAAGAAACTTGAGGTTAGTTCATCCAAGTATATTACCATTTCAACTCGTAAAATAACGGTATCATTGAGTAAATTCAACCTTTAATGAGTAATACCATGAGAAGAGTTGTTATCGCTGCTCTGTTTCGACCTCGATGTATATACGTATAAGAGAATAGACTTAACCAAACCAGCTCTTAAGATACTAAAGCCAATTGGAGGACAAGGAGTATGTTGTACGATAGCCGAAAATGCTGATAGAACTTCGAAGCCATGATTGTGAAGAGCACAAAAGCATGCAAGTGCTGCTATCTTTAGGAAATCCCTAGAATCAGAGTTGCTAAGAAAACCTTCAAAAAAATACACCATAGTCATATTTACTTACATTATAATATATGAGTAGCATTATATAGATATGAGCAAAGTGTGCACTACCTAGTTCTCTGAGAAGATCTGTAGCTAATGTATCCTTTTGTTTCAAGGCATTTGAGATGAGATTAAGCTGAAGAAAGTAAGTTAATGCAAAATGAGCTTCACATAGAAGAATTAGAAGTTGCCGCATCTTTCTACTTATTGTATGGCTCAAAAGATATATCATGAAGAAAATCACTGGTCCATGAAACAAGAAACAAGAATGTCAAAACCGCATCATGAAAGTAAGCCCAATAGTGTGACATATGGAAAAACATAACAAATAGAGAAGAGAACTTACTATAAATGGCATGGATGAGACCTGGTCTTAGAGCAATAAGAAATATTAGTATTAAGACTATAGCTCGAGATGTTTTACGTAGTAACCATGCCACTGTGGCTATAGTTAGCACTTTAGTCTCATCTCTATCTGAAACATAAGTTCAAAGTGAAAATCATAATTCACAATCATCGAACCTCCAAGCAAATTTTTCCCCAAATACATGAAACAAGTCTAAATGGAAGGCTATTTTTTCATTCTTACCTTCTACATCGGCATCTTGCTTAGAATATTGTACACCCAAATCAGACAAGTATTGAAAGACTGAGTTGTTCACTAAATTTCCTAAAGCAACAAGGATGCCAAGACAAAATTGTGCAAATAGATAAAATCCAGGGATAGGATAATGCCATAAACCGATAGTTTCCCAAATATCCATGTCCTGCAACAAAAAAGGGTATTGATAAAGTAAATACATCATAATAATGAATAGAGGCATAATCTTCATAAAAAAACCGACCTTCCACATGTGCTTGTTGAGGACCAAAAATGTCAAGTTGAAGACATAGGTGCTAGCAGCCCATAATAGAATGAATACAAGAAGCAAGCCGTTTAGCCGATGCAATTGAAAGACCGAAGGAATGGCATAAAGCACATAGCCAACATAAGCCAGGAGTGCAAATGCACATAAACTGGCAAAATGGAAACTCCAGAATGACAATGCAAGCAAGGAAATCTGTCAAGATGGAATAGTAAAAATGTAACTAAGTTGGAAAAAATGATGAAAGAAAATATAAGATTGTAAAGGCAGTGAAAGAGCCCTACAGGGAAACCATAAGTGAAGAAGTTGACACAGAAAGTCCGGAAAACTGCTCCTGTCAACAAAAAGTTGGTGTGCCTTACACCCGATCTGCAGAAAACCAGAAAAATGTAGTGACATGTGATCTCAAAAAGAAATTCAAACTTCACATAGTCCATCAATAGAACTCACCGAAATTGTCGAATGAGAAATGCATGTTTTGGAGTAAGAAGTTGGACCGTCAAGCTATTATCTCTTCCGGACATAATAAAGTCCATTTCTGCAAGGTCACATCTAATCCAGGAAAGCTGTAAAAGTAGAAAAATGCTTAATAGCTATTACAGCAAGTGAAAAAAAAGTTTGATAAGAGGTTATTTAATATTGATTTGGTTGGAAAACCCCAACGACTCACCATTGTGTAGAAGAGAAGGAGAGAATAACCAGAGCATATTTCAGACCACTCTGAATGTGAAGATACTTTATAGAGACCTATAAAGTCACCGACAGAGGCCATCCATGGAAACTGAATTGGAAGTTGGTAAATGTAGAGAAGGACAATGTTCAGCCCTGCATAGAATAAAAGATAGCTCCACCACCTCCAATCAATATGAGTTAGCATGAATCATATGTAGGATTTTAAATATGACTCTACTGTAAAATCTAAATTAGAGAAATTTATTACCTAAATAGACCAAGAAAGTTGCTTGTTAGAGACCAGTTAACTAGTCCAATGCTGCTGAATATGAAAAATGGAAATGAAGCCCAAGACGGGTGGCTTATGCCAACAATCAGTTGTACGAAAGGTAGTAGTAAGCAGCACAATACTCTAAGATGAGAACCTTCCATTCAAAAAAATAAGTAGACAGAGCCAAAGTGTTAGTTTCTTTCGGCATTGTTGATTCCAAAATGACTTTATTACTAAGTAGCAATGGAGTATGAGATGAACAAAAACAACAAACCTATGCGTAGAATAAAAGAATAGCCATGACCAACAAATGAATCTTGCGATAAGTCTGGAGAACATCTAGTCCCATAGATTTCAACCACGGCAATTACTACTACTAGGACTTGGACGGTTGTGAAATAAATCACATATGGTAGTCTTTGAGAATGAACACTGCAAGACATTTCATATTTCTGTTAACAATTATCCCTTACAATATTTTCAATATCTAGAATAAAAACATGTCCCAAAATCAGACCCCGACCTTAGAAAACCGATTAACTTAGCCCACTGTGCATCTGCAGTACTCCACTGATTCCCCTTGATAGCCCAGACAATATGAAAAATGGCAAGTGAAACAACAGCCACAGAGGAAAACAAAAGGGTGTACCATGAGATCAACAATCGTCTTCTTGATCGCATACCTGTAGACTCCAAAAGATAAAAAAAAAATGAGTTAATATTACAAAGATTAGGTAGAGTAGTTGAAGTGAGTAACATCTTAAGTGTGAATAGGCAATAGAATCATTGTGGGTTGACACTTACCGATTTTTGGTGCAGCATATTGAATGAAGATAAAACCTAACAAATCCACCATAGAAATCAAACTCCAATTAAGCAATGCAGCTGGATAAAGGCATTTTGGCAAGAGAAGAAGCACATCAGTTTGATTTTCTCCTTACTACTAATCATGAAAGAAAAGAGCCTTTCTGAGAAAATAGTTAAGAAATCGAGGTTTCCACTTTCCAGTGGCTAACCTGATAGAAGCAACATAGGCAACAGAAATCCACTGAGGAACCTCCCCATTGCAAACAATATCTCCCTCTCCCAACTCACAAGTCTACAACAACAGCTTGCCCTGCCTTATGCACTACAACAAACATTTCCCCAAAATTTCTGCCATGGTCGCAAATATGTGGATGAAATTCATAATGATGAATAGGGCTCCTTGAATTAAGCTGAAATCCCCAATACCCAATTCAGAAAATCATCAAAACGACGCTTTTTTTCTTTTTTTTATCCTAATTGCATAAGCCTAGCAAAGGGAGAGAAGAAGATTTGAGCTTTCGGATTTCCCTCATCCATGTAAAAGATCTGAAAAAATTCTCTTCATGATTTCAAATTGAGGGGAGTATAGAATGATCTTAGCTTTCTGCATTTCGACGGATCAAAGTGTAAAAAGATCCAATGCCAGCTTGCTCCTTCTTCCGACAAGAATGTTCCAGTAATAATGCATTCATGTCTTGTGTCCTCTCATTTCCAAAACAAAAAGAAAGAAAAGAAGGAAGAACAAAGAATAAACTAGTTTGGACCCTATCATTTGAGCAAGTGATCTACTTTCCAATTTTAGGTGATTTTTTGTATTTGTACCTGCTTTTGATTTATACATATTTGGTAGAATCTAAATAGTGTTTTTATACTGAAGCTTATAATACTTTTTTATTGTTTATATGAAGCACAATAAAATAGAGTTCTGAATCCATTTACTATGGTTTAAATCTTTACATCGATATCACTTATAATTTTTTTATTTTTATAATGTTTATTAATGAAAATAATTACTATTGCTTGCATAGTTTTGAACTTTTAATACATAGTATATCTAATTCACATGTGGTTCTTTATTAATTTGATAAATTGTTATATTTATAATTTATGGTGGGCACGTGGATGGCTAATATGTAGTTTGACATCGATTCACCTGTAAATAACTCAAAACGCAGTGGGTTTAGTGATTGATATGGATAGATTGTGGATCGAAAAATTCCTACTAGTTTATTTAGGTGGGTGTTTTGCGGATTATCCAAATGACCTGCACTGCTGCACCCCATTTTCGCATGGCAAACAGTTGTGTATTGTTTATACTATTGATAGTCATTATATTTTCTAACCCCAATACACAATGATCATCGACTTTTAAAAAGGGAAAACAATAAATATTTTTGGACTATTATTATTGGTTACTGTGTTGTGTAATGTTCACTAAATAATGAGATGCAAATTGTAAACCATTAATAGTATCAAAATTTTATAAAACAACAATTTTCTCTGCACATTTGGTTTACATAATAATGAAGATTTCTTACGAGTATTAGACGGATCCAAATGAGATAAAGTGGGAGGTGCATTGATACAATCTTCCTAATTTGCGAGTAGTTTGTTATAAATGTTAATTAATTTACCTAATGGCTAGTCGGAGAATTGCATTTTTTAGTTAACTCACAACTCAAATGCCACCACCCAACCAAATTCGAAGAAGAAAGTGAGTGAATAACGATTTAACATGGTTTATTAGGTCAGAAAAAGAAACATAGATGAGATGATATGGTCTAAGCCTAGCTTACTAGGCTAAACAAAACACAATAATGAGCCATTTTGTTTGTAGGACTTTCCTAGGTTACTCCTTGACTACATTTTGATACTCAAGCTAGTTTGTAGTAGATGCTCGGAGCCTCTTGTGAACACGTGCTCGTAGAACTTGTGTGTCGTGGAATCAGGCCAAAACGCTCATAATCGTTGGATGAATGTGGTGATTCGGATTTGAGTAAATGGTGGTGACGTTTCGTTCATGAGCAGGATGATTGGTGGAGGGATCTTATCTGGATCAAGTTTCCTAATGCTTCTTCGGAATGAATGTTGGGGAAGCGATCGGGTGCTATCAGCACTAGCCTTTGGGCGCAAATTATTAACACAAACAATATGTTTTTGGAGATTTGCGTATGTTGAAGCGGGTGGTGGATCTAGTGTCTCTCTCTGGCACAATGTGTGCATTAAGGAAAGGCTGCTTGTTAAAGATTTTTAGAGGGTCGATGTTGCGGTTGATTTGCCTAACTTCCGAGTTTCTGATGCTATCAACTTCTCTAAGGGGAGAGTTTCGTGGACATCTGCTATCTTGGTTGTAACTTGATTGGGAGCTTCGTGTTCAGGTGTTTGTGAGCACCTTCATGTTTTCAGCTGCGTTTCGTTTGCTACCTGTTGTTGGCGCGCTTAGAGGTTGGTTTTTTGCAGTAGTTTTTGCTGGTTGTGTTTTCATACTTTTAATCTTCTTTTTTCCCGTTAATAATATTATTTCACCCTTATATAAAAAAGAATGTGATGGAAAATTGTACAAAATTGCCACCACATCTATCAGATACAACCAAAGAAGTTCATCACGAGGAAAGTTTTCCTGGGGCCAATTACTCTACTAGAATTTTTGAAATTAAAACATGAAATATCATAAGATAATTAGATTGGCCATCGCGAATCTATAATACAAATGATTCTACAATATATTTGAATTTGATTCGAGTGGATCCAATAGGATCAATTGACTTCCTGTCTCCGCTTTTGGCACAACACAAATAATAATAAAGAAGCACGTATTATTAAAATTATTACTAATTGACAATTAATACAATCAGAATTACAAATCATAATTACTACATAAATTACAATCACAATTACAAATCATAATTACTACATGAGAACTACTAGTGTTCAGTAAGTTTCAAGCTTGACCCACCATCTCCTTTAAAGCAAATCAGCCTTGGACCTGCAAAGCAAAGAAGAAAGAACAGTTAGTCCAAACTCCAGGCCCAATATGAAGGAACCCAACTCGGCCCAGGTCTCAATGAGCCCAACTCCTAGACAAGCCCACATGGTCAAGAGCGGCCCGGCCAGCTCAGAAGCAACCCAACCCAACAGACCGGTCGAAGCAGAATGGGTCCGACCGAACACAGACACCACCGCCTCATTTTTTCTATAAAAGAAGGCCCAATTCTCATCATTGGGGGACAACTTTTCAGAAGGGAAACACTTTCACTTTCATTTCTTTCTCTTCTTAGTCAGTTTAGAATTTCTTTTTTTTCCAGTAAGGTGAGAGGGAAGGTAAACGCTGGAAAAATAGAGAGAGACAAGCACTTTCCTTCCTTTTCCATTTCGTTGTAATAGCTCATTTTCGCTGTAATAGAAGCAGAAGGTTACCAAGCCAACAAAAGCACAAGAAAGTCTTTAAATCAAGGTTAATCATTTATCCACTCTTAATAACATGGACATGGCTTCCTCTATTGCTCTTTTCTTCCCGGTTATTACTTTACTCTTCTTGTCAAGGTAACTCTATATTATATTCATTACCACCACCATTATTATTATTGCCACATAATAATCTAAATCCTGCAAGGGTTTCTAAGGAAAAAAATCAATCAACTCCAATCAAACTACAACATGACCAAACTTTTTAAAAAAAGAAATCACAACTTATCAATCCAGATTTATCAAATCTCATTTACTTTGTCAGCTTTTCCATCCAGCTTTATTTTATTTCTAGTTCCTTTATTTGCTTATTTTAAGCAGATTTACTCTATTTTTTCTATGAATGGGTGGTATTTTATTCATCTATACGATCTTTACAAAGCTATAAAATTACAAAACCTTCAGCTGCAATCTAGCTAGTTCTTTTTGCCTACTACTACTATACAATGAATATTAGAGAGGTTTATACCAAAGGATTCGAGCAGTTGGTGATACAACAAACCCTTGGTCACCTAGTTCTTTTGCTTCCATAACAGCCTGCATTCTCTTAACCAAATCCCCTACTGAGAGCTGCTTCCTGCCATAGAGTCTGCGACATCTCTCCCTCCAGACTTCACTTAACACTAAACACCAAAGAATTCTTCCCACCTGACACTTACTCAACTGTTGGTTTACTATCACCACTGCTTGCTGCAATCTAGCTTCAATAGGGACCTGCCAAGACACCGGGAATACTGTTCTCCATACCTCCTGCATATACATACATTGGAAAAATATATGGTCTCTAGATTCTGCCTCCAATCTGCACAGTGGACAGCAAGTATTCACCTCAGCATTCCACCTCTGGACTTTGTCCAAAGTTGTGATACTCCCCAACAAAATAAGCCATGTTTGTAATGAGTTCTTTGGTTTACCTTCTTTCCAAATCAACTTTGACCATGTTACTACCTCCCCTCGTGGCCTAATGCTCTGCAACACCTTGCTAGTTTGGAATCTGGCCATTGCTACTCCCTCCCATTCCACACCCTGATCTGTTCCACTCAGTCGTCCCGCAAAAGTAGCCCTGAGCTTTAGTATTATTAATCATATTAGCCTATAATTATCTACTTATACGTTAAGCTTATATTTTTAAATATTATATTTATTGCTAGTTACTTATCATCTACTCGTGATACTTTCCAAACCACTTTCGATGCTATTTAGCATCTACCATTCCTTTATTTTCTAGCGCATAGATAAAAATCTCATCATCATCCGAATGAAATAAAAACATATTCACCAAATAATCCCAACCCTCTAAGCTCCCAAACCATTCATTCACCACAAAATCACACCAAATAAACCTCAAACACCATATTGAGATGAACACAACCATCATCCCCCAAATCTCAAAGTCATAAATTCATATCCAAATCACCCACAAACGCCAAACCCCAATCCCAACTCAGGAGCACCAATCACAAAATTTCCTAATCTAATTCTATTTCGTTTAAATTAAACCCTCCTGCCACCTTCCCCTTCTAAAATCAAAATCAACTAAAAAATATCAACAATGGCGTGCGTCGAACCAAGGCATGCGCTCTCATGCCTCTGAGCCAACACATTTAGCCATTAGGGGATTTTTTTCCAGAAATACCACCTTTAAAAAAAAATTACAAAAATACCACCCATCCCTCAAAATTTCCAAAACTATCACCATTAATTGAGAACCGCCACAGGGGGAGACGGTTTTCAATTAAACCGCATGTGGAGAAAGCGGTTTTAGAATTGGCAGCAAAACGCTCCTCTCCAAC